TTTTTTTTTTTTTTTTTTTTTTTTTTTTTTTTTTTTTTTTTTTTTTTTAAGCATGGTGATGATGAATAGATAAAGATGAATAAAAAATAAGAAAGGTGGGAGTGGGGAACAGGGTTTAGTGGAGTTGAGTGGGTGTAGTGGGTTAGGTTTAGTGGTACATTAACAAGCATTATACACACTGCACTTGTCTCGCTGTTCTGACCATATCAAAGACCACTGTCCATTATCCCAATTGAAAAGCTGTAGTTCCCCGGAAAACCTCATCACCAACCTCGTGATATTGTCTTTTAAAACTGGTGATATAGTAAAATTCTTACCATTATATGTTATGTTCTCACCATTGCTAGAATTTGATAACAGTAAGTCTATTTTGTGTAGCAATTTCTGATCGGAACTGTCAAAGATACCAGACCCACTTCTCCAGTACATTTCGCTTCTTTTCCAACTGATGTAATTAGTTTCTGTTGATTGATATTTCTTGAAAGTAAAGTTTCCCTTTGCCGGGTCGTTGACCCTTTTCCATGAATTCAATTTTAGATTATCGTCCATCATCATACTGGGAAGGAAGGTATCAGTTGGATGATCATAGTACCTTCCCCAATAGATCATCGCTCAAAACCAAGTTCCCAGAGTCCAAGAGCTTTACCGTTGTCCTATTGGACGAAGATGGTAAGCTTGTAAGACCTGTAGTGAAATTAATGGAATTTCCGTCCATGACCTTGAGGTTGAGGATGCCATCATCTTCAATGGTGAAAACGCCAGTTGGCAACCCACACAATCGTCTGTGAGTTCAATATGTAATACCAAATTCCTATGTATCTGGCTGCTGGAGAATAATTTCGGTAAACTTAATTAATTGCAAATAATAAATAAAATAAAACAAACTTATAATTTTTCGAAGATCAAACTATTGAATGAAGTTGCGATTGAGGCCAGTGTATGGACACTGTGTCTTTAAGACAGAATAACGCCCTCTCCACTGATGCTCGGGATTAATAGGTGTTCTATCTCCAAGATACAACAATCATGTATGTGTATAGCGAACCAAAGTATGTGCTTTACACTCTCTCAAACTTAGACTCTAAAAAATATGAAAATGCAGAATGAAAAGAGGAGGAAGAAACTGGAAGTCTGAATTTTCTTTTATTGATTTGATTCCAAAACCCGGATGGAGAACTGCCTTAATATAGGCAATGGAAAAACCTTTTCGGAAGAGACACGTCTGCCAGCAAACAATTGAAAATACCTTCAAATAATTTTGGCCTAAGAAGATAGTAACGGGTCGACCCAACCCAACTCACACTTTAGGTGTCCTTTGGGCCCATGCCCAAGGTTCCATCTAGGACTTTATATCTTCTCCAAATTTTTCCTTTCCTACGTGGGACAAGAACACTCTAACACCATTTCGAGAATTTTTTACCAACATGACTAATGTTGATGAATCTCACTTTGAGAGTCAATTTTTCATTCACCTATAAATGGTTTTGACTCAATAATTTCATAATCTTGTTCACCACATGGCAACAAACACATTGCTACTCGGACCCTCCAAAACTGACTTATGGGTCCTACAAAATTATTACCATAAAGTTTCCGAAAAATCAGTATTTAATCATTTTTTCCAACACTGGCTACGTAGCCTGATTCTTCCATAGTGGAAAAGAAACCAAGTTGGAATTTGTTGCCAGCTGAGATGAGAGTTTCGCCGTAGATACCTCGAATTGGATAGCCTGTTGTTATAGCATCCCTTGCAGTTGTAGCTGCAGCTGCAAGACAAAATATTAAAGGACCCAACAACAACAATATGCCAAAGATGATGAAAATGGTAGATAGTGGTGTAAAATTTGAATGAAAATTATAGGAAAATATCATGGCGGCAGCGGTGGTGGTGGTGGTGTATGCTCCGTTTTCCTTCATTACAGGACGCATGGTGGTGGCCATTGTACAGCTATAGGTTTGCTGCTGAGATCTGCATGTAGTTTCCTATCTACTAAACTATCCTTAGACATAAGAGGCGAGATATTTTAAGTATATTAACCAAGATTGAGTGATTTAGACAATGTGGAATAATCTAACAATGAGGATGGCATTAGCGGTTGATTCTTCCCAATAGTAGTAGGGGCACGCGGTTTGACTATCCCAAAACCACTTCGTTTTCGAGCAAAAAAACAAATATTCCTTTCTTCCCAAAATAGTAGTCTCTTTTGAGAAATCTAATTTTTTTTGGTAGTATAATTATTACATTTTAACAATATTAATTTTTTTAAATTATCCTGTGATAGTATATTTTTTTGGGAATATCAATTATCATAATTGTATTTTTTGTATTGTTAATGAATTTAAAAGAAGGACACAATAGGAAATTTATATTATTTTAGTTCTTAATTTTTGTAAAGAGACTAATATTTTGAGATAATAAAAAACGGAATAAGAAACTAATATTTTAAGACAGATAGAGTAAATTAAATAAAATCTTCCTTTCCCTTCCCTTTTGTCTTTTTATGTTTGGTTCTGTTAAAATATGTTAGTATTATATGTTAGTGATGTTAGTATTATATTATTATATGTTAGTGATGTTAGTATTCTATGTTAGTATTGCTAGTGTTATCATTATGTTTAGTACAGCATTATGTTAGCTTTAATAATTATCCTTGCTTTATGCTTTCGGTGCCTCAATTGGCACCCAATGTTGGCTTTCTCCTCTCTATAAAGAGAGTGTAAATCTCTTTGTAAACATACAGAATATATCAACAAATCAATCAACAACATTCAATATCAATCAATATATACACAATTTATTTTCTCTCTCTCTATCAATTATCAATTTATCTTACAATACCTATCACTTGTTGGAAACAAGCTCTGGTTTCCAACCGTACTTATGTTACTTGCGGGAACTGTCAAGTGTGTGGAGCGTGTACGTGCTCTGTATCTTGCAAGCTTGGACAAAGTCCGGGACTCAATGCTTAAGCAATCTGAACTGGGTCCTAATCCTTAATACTCTAAGCTCAAGAATTTATATTCTTGGAAGGCATTGGCGAGTCTCCCAATTCGGATGGAATAATTCCAGAACCGCAAATAGTATCTAAATCCAACACAAGCGGTTTGTCCAATTTGTCAGTGTTGCAATCTGCTTTCTATTTTTTTGATACTTTCAAGGGACTCTTTGTTGATCTCATATTCAGCTTCTGTGAGTGAAACCAGAGCCGCGACTTTTTCCTTGAGAGAGCACCGGAAGAAGCTTTCAAAGTAATAGAGGCAGAACTCAATCTTGTCTTTGAAGTCCTCTACACCAAGGCCACTGCATTGAGATGTAAGTTTGGATACTTTATGCGGTTTGTTTCTTTCAGTTCAGTTTTAGTAGCCCTTGTGGTCTTCTCTCTGATCGAAAAGCAGAGGTACCACAAGGTTGATGTTGCAATTACCTATGCCTTGCTTCTCGGTGCCATGACCCTAGACATTGTCTCAATCCTCATGCTCATTTCCTCTGATTGGAGTGCTGTTGCCCTCAAGAATTCTAAGAATAAATTTTTTGTCAGTGACATAATCAAAAAAATGGTCATCAGTAGGCAAAGGTGGTTCGCACATCGCAGATGGTCTGAATCTGTCCCACAATGCAACTTCATACATTATTGCTTGTATCAAACTTGTGGAATGATTGGTAATAAGATGAATAATGATAATGTATGCAGCAAGCTGTTCGCGGAAAAGCTAAGGGACTTCATCTTCTATGAGCTCCAATTAAAATCTGAAATTGCAGATGATACAGAAACTGCCAAAGAGATATGTTCAGCGAGAGGTGATTGGGTTCTTCGCATTAACGTCTCAGACTTTTCTCCTTAGATTACGGATATCTATGAAGAGAGCCTCTTACTGTGGCACATTGCCACTGAACTCTGTTACAATACTGATGAAGGCAATAATGCTGATACCAAAAATCTCCGCGATATTTCTAAGCTCCTATCCGATTACATGTTACATCTTCTAGTGGTTCGGCCAGAGATCACATCTGCCATGGCTGGTATTCACAAAAAAAAGATGGCGAGACACCTTTGCTGAGGCTCTGATGTGTTTCCAAGGAGAAAAACTAGAGCACAAACAAGCCTGCGAAAAAATCCTTGAGGTAGATACATTTTTCATTCCTTTTACATTGGAAGGAGGGAGAAGCAAATCTGCGCTATTTAATGCATGTATGCTGGCAAAGGAGCTTAACAAGTTAGGATATGAGAGGAAGTGGATGATAATGAGCAAAGTTTGGGTAGAAATGCTATCGTATGCTGCACGTCGTTGCAGGGCATGCATCCATGCCCAAGAACTGAGTAAAGGTGAAGAGCTTCTCACTTTAGTTTGGTTATTGATGGTTCATTTTGGGTTGGGAGAGCAATTTCAATTATTTGAGGACCATCCAAGGCCAAAACTAATTGTTGGGAAGTAACTGAATCAATGGAGTAAAGCTGTGCCCTTTACCAGGCAATCTACTTTGTTATAGATCCATG